CAAATTGTCGCCATTTTATATTTTTAATTTTGCGCATGCACGTTGTTTGTTTTTGTTTTTGTCAACTGCACAGTATTGTAAGACTGGTTGGGCACCTTGGTGACAAAAAGAGGACCATGATGCAATTCACTCCACCAGAAATTTGGAAGCAGCATGCTGTACTGCTTAGCATTCGAGCTGGAAGCTCCAATATGAAGATTTCAGTGTTTGGATGCCAATCTGAGGACAGAGTTGGATGAGTCTAATTGTGATTACAAAGGTATTTGGAGTAATCACTAGTGATGGCAATGTTGTACCTCCATCTACCCACAGAGAATCAGACTCAATACAGGGGCCTACATTCAACAGCCTTGAGGAGGTAGTGCTGCCCTGGTTCAAGAGGTTGGCTGTTGGAAGGCCCTATGTCTGGCAACCCAGTTGTGGCTATCAGACAATTTCTACGACCACATCACCCCTTAAATCTGGCCACCTAACTCCTCAGACTACAACTCCCTTGATTATGTGGGGCACAGTTGACCAACAAAACAAGAGACCAACAAAATTCCTTGTAACACCATAGATGAACAAATGGCAAGGATTATGGTAGCATTCACCAACTTAAACAAGGAGACCGTCCAGAAGAGTTGCAGGAGATTCCAAGGTCATCTGGAAGCTGTGGTTGGAGCCAATGGTGATTTTATTGAATAAATTTACTCTATAATATTTCAAGATATTTTTGAACAATTTTGGTAAATTTATCTGTTAAAAAAAATCAGATGTCAATTTTATTTTCATTTTTGTGTAAGTTAAACGACAATTTATTCATCGCACCCTGTATTTGTCTAAGTATATTACAGTGTTTTCTTTTTAAGCCAGTATGGAATTTTAAATATCTAGGAAATTTTTTTAAGTGTTCTTTTTTTTTTTTTTGGTAGGGGAGGCAATACTGTTGACTTGAAAGAAGTAATTTCCACAAAAAAATTGAAAATTACTACAAACAGTGTGTGTGGGGGGGGTAGGAGACATCAATGCTTACATTTATCCAGTTATACTGATCTGATTTTTGTATGTTTATTTGTATTTGTCAATATTTCTGAGATGAGGTATTGTAACTATTTACACTATATTGTTTGTACTGTTGTCCTCATCGTTATTGCTGTATTAACAACGTTTCGGCTGTTGTACACTCTGGCAATACTCAGGTAATATTTGTTGGAATTTCAAACTTTATATGGTCCTCAGAAGTAGATTGCTCTAATTCCACATGCCATGCCATTGAATATCTCAATTTCAGTTTTGATCCAACAGTAACTTAACCCAAAGGGTTCATTAGTGTTGTAACCTAGGAAAGGTTATTGAATAGAGTAATCAAATGAAAGTTGGTAATGAACAATAATACTTAGGACAAGAACAAGACATATAAGATTCGACAGTGGCACATTGAAGTAGTCAAGCGAATTGTACTGTGAATCTCTAACAGTTGACCAACATACAGTATTCACTACTGTATTTATGGGAATGGGAACATACCCATTATCATCTATAGGTATGCTATAACAATTAGTTTAATACCTGGTCACAGCAGAGGGAACAAAAACTTGAAGATTCGAGTTATCAAGAGGAATATTTGTTATGTTTTTTCTAATGTTATGCCTCTTCAGGAAGTAAGGGATCATGATTTTCCACCGATTCCTTTTTTTTCATGATTGCTCTTGGGAAAAGCACAATTGGTTTTCTACTGCCTTCTCCACTGAGAAGTCCTTCACCTAAACTGGGCAACATCCAAGGCTAGAGAACAAAGTTATTGTTAGTATTTAACCCATAGCTGATAAGCAAAAAGATGGATTCATGTCTTTCCCCAAAAGTATTAGTATGAAAGGGAATTTGAACTCGGCTTGCCAATTCCATTTTTCATACATCCTTTTTAAAGTTCAAAAAGAAAACATCAACATTGGAGAAGGAAAAGAAATGAAAATATTACTAATTATGTTAGAAGATAAGGATATCAAAAAATACATTATTTTATGCAAAAATTAGTTTTTGTTGTCTTTTCCATCAGTAATTATTTCTGCACTTTATGACAAAAACATTTTTCTAAATTTTAAACCTGTATGCTCAAAACTCATTCAACACTAGATTCATGCTGATTAGGGATCAGTACAAATAAAAGTAAAGCTAACTAATAAAACTGAAATATATTCTATTCAGTGATCATGAAACTTTGAATTTCAAAGTCACTGAAGGACATGCCATTAGCTGGATAGGAAATTACCACAATTCACTCTGAGGAGATATTTCTATTCTTTTGGAGTTACAGAACAAAGTAATGATTGTAGCCAAATGATTAATACTAATGGTAATATTAAGTTGTTTCTTTATAAGGAAACATTCAGCATTCATTGGCTGAAAAGACAGTGCTGGTCTTGGTTGAAATTTATAAAATCTTTTTTTTTAAAACAATTTTTCAGGAAAATAGGTTTCTCAAGTTCAGTAGCTGTTATCACTCTTTCCACTCTTGATGGGATTTCCTTCATAACTTTTTATTTGAAGTGGTGTGGAATGTCAACATCTTGACTGTCATTTTCTTTTCGAGTTACATGTGATATTCATTTCAGTTGTTGCTGCTGTTGGTAGTCCTCAAGTGATGGATTTCTGTTATTTAGTACAGTTATTTGTTCCTGAATCTGTAGCACTAGTCCACAATGTTCAAAGAAGGATGATCTCTGTATAGATCTTCAGGCTTGATTCATCATTTTTAACCATTGATCTTAGAATACAGCTGACAGTTTAGATAATTCTGAATGAATTTGGTCCCACGCATGACTTTTATATGAAAGTTTCTAGTGAGGTTAGACTTGAGCTTTCATTTTAATGTTTTGATTTTGAGACAGTTTGTCCTGTTTGGTGAAACAACCTCTAGTGCAGCCTATTCTATGTTCAATTTCCTTTTCTTCTATACGAACAGATTGTGACAGCTATTAGGGAGATAGGATTAAATATACTTTAATGTTTAAAAAAATTATTTAGCATTATTATTGCTTAGGTAATAAACATTATAACAATAGTGCAAATAGCTATACATGCATTTTTTATGTATTTATGGCTATTTTTTAACTTTTAATATCTGTTAGCATCCCATGGAAAAGGCTTGATATAAAAGGAATCCCATCACATGATGCAATATTTGAAATATGCTCTTTTGTTAGAGATAGAAGATTATCAAAAACAAGGACTGTTGCAAAGAACATGTTTTTTCTTCTAAATTGTGGCTATTTTAATTTTGGTGAAAATGATGAAAAAGATTTTAAAGCAAAGAACTACACAAAGATTCTTATGAAAATTCAGATACAAAAGTGCTTCTGACTCTTCTGATTTTATTAATTAATAAATTTAAAATTATACATTAATAACTAATTTAAAATTATACATTAATAACTAATTTTTAATTAATATTTAATATTTGTGCTCAGTTGTTGACATTAATAGCTATCTGCTGATGTGTAAAAATTTTGGAATAATGCAATAATAAAAATTTAAAGTTCATCTCTCTGATAGATGTCGTGATCTGTAAATTTGTTATAATTGATCCATACACTAAGGTATTTAAAGTGTTTAGCATTTACTAATTCTATATCGTGGATTACTATGATGGATTAAGCTCACAATTAAAAGATATGTTTTTCATTCAGTTACAATCAATTCAAAATTTGAAATAAATAGTCAAATTCTTCAGCCTAATCAAATATGGATATGAAGAAATTGTCGTTTACCCCTCAATGTGGTGTAATGGTTAGCAAGCTAGTCTCACAAAAACAATTAAGAGCGAGTAGTGAATTTATTCCTCATTGGGTGCTCCATACTTTTGGCCTTGTGCCACATCAAAACTATCCCTCGACAAGGAGTAATGGTTAACAAGCTTGTCTTCCAAGAACAATTAAAACAGTAGTGAGTTCAATCCTTACTGAGTGCCCTATACTTTTGGTCTTGTGCCACATCAAAACTACCCCTCGACATGGTGTAATGGTTAACAAGCTCGTCTTCCAAGAACAATTACAATAGTAGTGTGTTCAATCCTTACTAAATGCTCCATACTTTTGGCCTTGTGCCACATCTAAACTACATTTAGAAAATCATTTGGACACCTTGATGTGGTGTAATGGTTAGGAAGCTTTTCTTGCTAGAATAATTACGACTGAGTAGTGAGTTCAATCCTTACTGGAATGGGTTATAGAATAAATTTGCTGAAATATTTGGTGTCTAAATATGCAAAATAAAAAATCAGTTTAACTATCTGAACAAATCTTGGAACATTAATAATATGCTTTATGCTATTGAAGAAGGCTGTAGAATAAACAAACAAAAACATTTGGTGTCCAAAAAATGAGTTCAGTTGTCTGAATAAATCTTGGAATATTACTGACTTTACTTAAAATTATAGCCAATAATAGCAATGACGAGGGTTAGTGTCTAAATCAATTTACTTGAGACTAATTCAAGTTGAAGTTTCTTTCAAAGCAGAAAGAAATTGTGACAAGCAACAAACATATTTTCTTGCATTTGATTCACTAAAAATAAAAGAAAAATAAAGAAACGGAAATTTATGAAATATCACATTCTTGTGAATATCAATCATGAGGAGCCAAGTTAAGTATTATTCGTTATTTTCCCCTCACAACTAAAAAGGAAATTCTTTCTATTTCCTCAGTTTTTTGTCATAGATTTTTGCACATTAACTTCATTGGTCAATGCTTTATTTTCTGTCTCATTGAGAAATTTAATAAAAAATGACTAGCCAAATTTGACAGAAATATGTAACAAAATTATTCCAGCAAAACATGATTTCCCATCAGAGATGGAAAATACATGTAACTTTCTTTATCATGTATTTGAATACATATTTACATCATTATATATGTGCCTGTGTGTGAATCTACTAATGACATTTTTAGCCCAACATTTCTTCTAACTATAAGGGTGATATTTTGTGGGCACGCATGTCTGAGGCTTATAGAGATATCACTTTGAAACTCTGGTTCTCATAAGATCGATGAAGTTAAGCAATGCTGAGCCTGGTTGTACTAAAATGGGTGACTGGTTGGCAATACCAGGTGCTGTATGCTGGCATGTGGGGGTGGTGTAATAGACAACAGTTTGGAATTGAAACCTGGGTCTCCGATTTCAAGTCAGGCTCGTTATTATTCGCTTATGTAAAACTATCTTTTGGGAAAGGTACGAGTCCATCTCTTCTCCCCCAGCTATGGGTTAATTAGTAGGACTTGTAGCAGTAAATCATTATTATCTACCAATAATTCTTGCAGTTTAAAAATATTTTCTAGCTTTTAATAACCTGCCAAAGTTTGATATGCTGGAAAAAAATATAAATCAATCAAAAACACATGTCTGAGTAGATACCCCTGCTTTTAAACAGTGAAATTAATGTCTACCAGCCTAGAATTTAAAAATCTCATTAAAGAAAATATTTCCTAACAGGAATTAAATAGGTAATTCATATATATATATATATATATATAATATAAAAGGCTCCAATATTCTTACTCTGTCCTGGACATTGAGTTCTACCTGGATTCTATCCTCTTGTGAATTAATTCATATATATATATATATTATAAATTAATTGATTTAAAATATGTTTTTTTTTGCTACACAGTTCTAACCATGTTTCAAAAAATAAAATATTTATAAGAACACCAGATTATATATCTTACTGTTCTTTCTTTTTATTTATATACATATATATATATATATATATATATATATATATATATATATATATATTGGACACTAATATATATATATATATATATAGATAATATTAGTGGTCAATATATATAGATAGATAGATAGATACATAGATAGATAATATTAGTGGTCAATATATATATATATATATATATATATATATATATATATATATACACACATGCATGATGATGCAACCAAATATATAACAATAAAATTGGCATTAACCAAACCATGTTATTAAAATCTTCATGATATAATAGCTGACTGCTTATTTTTGAGTATTCCCATTTGTTAAGGTGACTAGCTAATCCCTGTTGTTGGTGCTTGCCCAGGCACATTTTTGTCTTGACATGAACATAGCTAATCTATTGTTTATAATGCATCTACACTGAGTGAACCCTAGTTAAAATGTCTGCGAGAAGTTGTATAATCTGGCATGATCTCTGTTTGTTCAAGACCAATACACTCAAACCACCAGTCATGACGACTTGTGACTGCATGCAAGTGATTACTGCTTCCAAACTGTTTCATTAACCCAATTTCACTCACAAGACTTGGCTCAGCCTGTACTATGGTTTTTCAGGCACTTCCCAATGAAAATGTACATTGGGATCATCTCGCTAGGCTGATGTTATCAAAAAGTCATCAACTTGTTTCATAGGTGGAATGTTAATGTTCTAAGCAATTTCAATCTTCAACCAACCTTGCACTATAGTTTTTTTTTTTTTGGAGACTTCCTAATAAAGCTGTATCTTGGGATCATCTTCTTTGGTCAAAATATCAGCAAGCCACCTCCTTGACAAATTAACCAAGTTGATATCTAAACCTGAGTTTCATGTTTAGAGCACTAATATTCTAACCTCTCGGCCATGCAGACTTGATACATTTATATGATAAATATACCATATGAATTTCAGCTGATAATCAAATACATTGAGTCAATTGCTTCTTCCACCGCGAGGAAAGTTGGCTCTCTGTGCCGCGCCAGGAAATTTTTCTCCCCTGAATCGATACTTCAAATATACAAAACAACCATTCGCCCTTGCATGGAGTATTGATGCCATATATGGTCTGGGCACCTTCTGTTTACCTCGGAGTTCTTGACAAGATCCAGAGAAGGATATGTAATCTAATTGGCCCTGATCTAGCGTCTTGCTTGCAGTCACTCTCTCACAGACGCGCCATCGCCTCTCTCTGTCTTTTCTACAAATACTTCCATGGTAACTGCTCTGATGAGCTGCTCTCTCTGGTTCCCAGACTCCATGAATTCAAGCGCCCTACGAGGCTGGCATCCTGCTCTCACCCTTACACCGTAGAAACCTTCAAATGTAGCCGTCTCTTCTACTCCAAAAGCTTCATACCTCGCACCTCTTGCCTGTGGAATACCCTTCCCAATTACTGTTTCCCTGAAAGCTATAATCTCCAACTATTCAAATGTAATGTCAATCGACATCTCCAATTACCTTGATCTACCCACTATCTTTCTCCTCTTCCTTTCTCCTATCACTCTTATCTGCTCTCGCTCCAAACCCCCTGCATTCTAGTGGCTTCACGCCTTGCTTGGGGCACAATGCTTAAAAAGAAAAAAATATCAAGAAGTCATTGATTTTACAAGAAAAATTTATAAAATATTTGATACACTATTTACATTATTCAGACTATTGTCTTCATCTTCGTTGCTATATTTATTACAACGTTTCGGCTATTGTACACTTCGACCTTCTTCAGGTGGTTGGAATGTCGAACTGAACCCTTTATTTGGCTCGCTGAAGTAGACTGTTCTAGTTCCACGTGCCATGTCTAATGGATGTCAGTTGTAAGTTATCTCCTGTTAATTCACCTCTCCAAGTTCTCCACTGCCTTAAACAGGTATTGAACTCACTATAAGGCACAATGAATAAAGGCGTTAGATTCAGTGACAGGACCCAAAGAATTTCAACTGTGCACCGATGGCTTAGGGAGAAAATTTCCGACTGTTGCCGAATTAGTCGGGTTTTGATTCTGGCTTGAAACAATTCGGTGTCTAGCCACACTGATGAGCTGTGATACAGCAAAACAGTCTGTCTATGGATAACAATATTAAAAAAATATTAATATTATAAAAATGAAAGTCAGATTCTATTAGGTCGAAATAAAAGTATGTACTGTTTTTAAGTGAATTCCAAGTGCAATATTTAGAGATTTGTACATAGATTTATTAAACATGTGCCATTTTGTTTCACTATATTTGGGCATCTTTGAAGTAGATTCAGTATTTCATCTTCCGAGAAATTTGCCTCTTTCTAGAGAATAAACTAGTTGAAGTGGCTTTTACAGACTTCCCTGGAATTAAAGTTCTTCTGATTAAGAAAATTTGGTAGGGATCAAAAGTAGTTGGAATTCAAAAGACCAGGTGAGTATGGCGAGTCAAGTAGGACATTCCAACCAATCTGTAATAATTCCTGCCGAGTTTGGAAATAGAAGTGTCGCCTTTATTCATTGTGCCTTACAGTGAGTTCAATACCTGTTTAAGGCAGTGGAGAAGACGACACCCTTCTAATTCCAGACAATTTTCATTGATTCCCATAATTAATTGGTCCAAGTAGGAACATCGCTTTTCCAAATTCAACGTCTGATTTTGCGGAAGGAGAATCAAACCCAAATTTAACTAGATGGAATTCATTAAGATTGAGCAAAACCAAGACTACCTGTCCCTCCCCACTTCCCACTGATAAGAAAAAGATAGTGTATTATCGCGGATGTCAGTCCTGTAAAATAGAACATGTCAGTAAAGAAAATGGGTGCTCACCGAAATAACATCTAAATTGTTCTGGATAAAGAGCCAGGAAAACATCTGGTTTGTGTCGGTCACCCAGAAGAAAAATACCCATAGAAAAATAAAGATTAGTGCCTAAGGTTGGAGACAAGTTAATTTATTTTAATTTCTGTGACATTCATCAAAATTTTTATAGCGGACATTATTTTGGATTTTTTGAAGACAAGCTGATAAAGAAAGATTAATTACTAACTTGGCGGAACCATAGGCAGCAGGCTGTGTGGTCTTGTTGACCGAGAAAGACAAACAGAAAAAATATTTTTTTTATATTATTAAAGATGTTGAAAATATTTTTCTTTCCCACCCATGAAGACTGTGAATGAACAAAGATGGCTCCAATTATCTTAGATATGGTCAAGTCCCTGGCTTTGGGAAATCACCTAACACAACCAGCGTGAGACAAGACGATAAAGAAAGATTAATTACTTGAGATCACCTCTTCGTCTACGCATTTTAAAAGTTTAGATTCGTCATAACTGTAACAGCTTTTGAAAATGGGCTGAGTTTTGATGTTGAAAAAGTGGGAGAAGAGAGAGAGAGAGAGAGAGACAGAAAGAGAGAGAGAGAGATTATCACCGTCTATGGTGCGAGATGAAAAGTGAAGGGAGTTGGAGTTAAGGGGCGGCTTGATTCCTCTAACCACTCACAAAAGGGGGTTAGACAACCCCCAAATTTGGAAAATTACTCCAGTACACATATTTTGAAAATATGGAATTTTAGAAAAAAGTTTGATGCTAAGGGAGGGAGATAACCGAACCCCAGACCCTAGGCAACCCCACACCTATCAGATGCAGGACTCCATATAAACTGGAGGCTTGAATAACAAGAGTTCCCACATTACTACTACTTGAATCCATATCGTTCACTGATATCTCCTTGTACCAGCCCTGAAGATCAGAACTTAGAAATTTAAATTACTACTAACACATACTGTAAGCTCCAAAAGGGGATCCCAGTGTCAATTGATTATAACAGTGTGTGGGATGGGTTAGAACTGCTGTATACAACAAATCATATATAAACCAAATCTGTGTTACATTTTTAATCAGAATTCTTTATTCGAAAGAATTCTTTTTGAAATTCCAATCACCTGGAAAAGACCGGAGCGTATAACGACAGAAACGTTGTGAAAATGGAAATGTAGGTGAGGATAACAATCCAAATAATGTCAATAATGTAAATATGGAAATATCGTATGGAGAAATTGGAGCAATTTAGACGCTTCATTATTATTGCATCTTCGGTAATGATATTTACCTCGACTTCCCACTAAGGAGTGATGCGGTATAAGGACGGGCTTATTGTGGGGAACCCGAGCGTGTACAGTCAAACCAAGGACAAAAATTCTATGATCTCCCGCAACCGTGGGTCGCTCACTTCGTTGGCGAGCACCGATCCCACTCTCTAGTACCATGAGAGGATGCGGCCTCGGGCGGCTGTCCTCCAGGGCTGGGCACCTCACAGTGTGATTTACCTCTTTGTTGTGTCTGTCCACCGACGGAGCCGCATATAGTGATTTTCTAAGCGTAACTTAGATGTG